AAACGGTTATGTATACAAATCTTTTTATGATAATAAAATATGTGCAACAAAAATTTGCGATACAATAAAAAATAAAGAAATGATAACACAATTAAAACATGAAAATCAATTATACGTACATTTAAAATCATTACAAGGTATTATTATTCCGAATCGAATTACATCTGGATATTTGAAAATTTTAAACTGGTTTTATATTGTATGTTATGACTTTAGTGGAAAACCAAAAAAGTTCGACGAATACACATGATGAAAAACAGATGGCATTATATGCATTACGTCAATTGCATTTAAACAATGTTTTACATAATGATTTACGATGCGAAAATTTTCTTATCAATTATGATAATAATAATGATAAACATAATCGTATTATGCTATGTGATTTTGAAAATGCGGTGATTCTTAATGAAAAAGATATGACAAAAAAAGAACTTATTGCGAAAAGAAGAAAACAAATTAAAAAAATTATTAAACTATACAAAATGAAAATATGAAATGATATTTTGTTAATTTTATTTACTATTACTCAAACTAGTCGTTATTATTTAAAAAAATATAGATATAAATTTTATTTAAATTAATAGGAAAAAAAACCTTTACTACAAATGTAAAAATATTTTTCATACAGAGAAATACCTTGCAGATCTAGCAGATTTGATAGATGGTGAGTTATTGTTTGAAAAAGCTAATTTGAATGTATTCAGACAGATTTGGATTGAAAAACAATTCTCAATTAAATGTTTGAGAACATCAAAACGATTTATTTCTCACTATTCAATAATCGAAAAAATCGTTGGTTCGATGGCTTCTATCCTTTCTTGTTCTTCTGCACTTGTTTGTGAGATTGGCGAAATCCAACTCCTTGAGGATTTCCCAGGATCTTTTGTTTCCATGTGTTAATTTTTTTCTTGTAGACCTCGTTAGTGTGTTACATGGTCTGTTATTATGATTTTCATTTGTTGTTGTTGTTGTTTTTTGTTATCTCTATTTTTTCCTCCTTTGTTTATTCATATGTACTGATAGGCTCTTAGGATCACAGGGTTTTCTTTTAGCATAATAAAAAAAAAATATTTTTCATACGTACTATTGAAACATCACTTTCATGAAGTTTCTTTTTGTTGTGTAAAAGTAAACCTTGTCATTTATTTTCTGTTCTTGAATTATATTCTTTCTTTGTACATATTTTTAACAATAAAATAAGTGAAGGAGTATGGTCATTAACATTTTTCATGGCATCTCTATGATAAAAATAATATAGAGAGGATAAGTTCAAAACTTTTTGTTATGATACAACAAGAGGTATTCTTTTTATACATTAATAACGTATTGAGTGCAGACAAAAACAAATTGTCAAAGCGACGGAAGAAAATAATGAATAATTAAATTATCAGCCTAAATGGATATAACTTACTCGACAGATTCACAATCCTAGATAAAACTCATCCCGATTAGGTCCTGTCGGAGCTTGTTGGCAATCTATGTCATTGAATATTAATAAAAATTGATACCTCTTTCGATAATATTGTACAGTCGGATCTTTTATCTTGAAATTGTTCATTTTGAAATGAGCATATCCTTTGATCACAGTATGATATTTAAGGGTACGCCCTTCTTTTTTGACCATTTCTGGATCTCGAAGACGGTAAGGCCGATCCAATTGAAATTTTTACCACAAATAAAACACCTAAAAGGATAAGATACGTGTTCGAGGAAAAAATTCTCTAAGGTAGTTTTCATGGCTTTTTGTGAAAAACCTTGGTTTTCCATAGGTTCTCACTTTGCCATGGACAACCCCTTTCTAACTATGTCCGATTGGACTGAAAATTTTTTCGGGGATAGCTACGACTATATCTCAGAGATAGTTTTGAGCTTTTTCAAAAATCTCACTTTTTTTTCTTTTATAAAAAGAATACGTAAAGGTCTTTGCTAGAACCAGGTTTTCGACGTTCAAAACCCTATAGATTCGGATGGAAACATTAGAAATTAAAACGATCGATTCTACCTTTGGAGAATACTTCGAAGTATCTATGGTAAAAATTTCAGCCTGATCAGACAAAGTTAACGGGGAGTTGTCAATGGCATAATTGGATACTTCGCATAAAAAACTGGTTTTGAGAAAAACGTAAAGCAAGTTTGACAATGGACCTCACCAACTGATACCCTCTGTTTGGGCTCATATTTTGCTCATTGGTAGTCTGATAGTGTGGATAAAAACGTTAAAATGGTTCATGCCAGCGGGTCTTTATTCTCGAATTATAGTCATTTTACTGAATATTCAGGCTAACACAGGGTATTATAAAAAACTGCAATAAGAAATTTCCACCAGAAAATTTCCCCAGTAACAGATATCATAGTCAGTATTATTTCCTAAAAGTTTCAGCTCAAACGAATGTTTCTATTTCGAGATAACACGTTTGCAAGGGTGGGGTGTGTGTATTGTCTTCACACACAATACACCCACAGCCTTAAGATATATGATTCGTCAGATGTAATAGCAGTATCGCATATTTTCAAACTATTCTGACCTATCGTCAATTGTCGAACTAAGACTTTAATAATAAAATCTGAATAATAAAGAAAGGTTACCGATCAGCGGAACAAAGGAGTGACATGATAATGTTGAAGAAGACAATATACAATGATGACAAGGATAATTAATCATTGATTTATCCATAGATAATAAATAAATTAACGAGATAGAAGAATAGGTGAAATATAATTTTGAAGAAGCAATAATGTGCAATTAATAGTCAATGATGAAGAATCTACCATAACAACAACAATTTCCCTGTCTTATACAGCACAGAAAAACAATTTTTTGTTGACCACATACGTATATTTAGAATAAAAAACCAAGATGACGTTACTAAAGATCAGTTCTTTTCATCATTGATGAACTCAAGTATATTTGTTATTTGTTCTTTTCTCAAACGATTCACAACAACTAAGCCTGGTAAAATAAGTTTTCATGCTTGATATGCTTCACTCCTCTTGTAGAATAGTCAGTATTTATCTTTCTTGTCACTATGATAATTATCTAATGAATGTTGAAACAAAAAATTAGCTAAATGTAATGAACGTGGGGAAGAGAGAGGTGTTTCAATGAAGCATCACTTTGTTATGTAGAGAATCATAAACTAATATACGATTGCAATCAATCTATGCTTTTAAAATAAATACTGCTGATTAACATGTTGCTTTAGTTCTAATTTTCGATAGTATTAATGAGTAAAAATAAAGAAAACCACCGATATCATTGACTGATTCTTTACTTGCGAAAAAAAGTTTTCATTATCTTTTATGTTACTACTTTTTCATCTGTTGTTCAAATGTCTAATGTGTCTTTATCATTTATTTCATTTAGAAAATTTTGTTTCCTTTTTGAATGTTATTTTATAACAGACTTTCGTCTATTTGTATATATCGTGAAGTTGATGTTGTCTGATTGATAAGTTCATGTCATTCAACTTGACTACAATCAATTATTACTTGTTCACCCGCTGACAATACTCGATTATGTATATGTGAATCATCTAAACAATTTTACATTACTATAAAAATTGATTGTATATCTTGAAACCTTATTGCAGTTGTTTCAATAAGGTGTCGGCATAATTCGATTAATTTTCGTCGTACACGTAAGATTTGAACTTTTAAGTCATAATTTATAGGTCATCTCAGAACTGACCGTTGTTTGAATTCATATTGCAATAGACTTGAATAATATTATTCTATATATGAGTTATTAATGATATTTCTTGTACTTGTATTTCTTCATTGTCATCTTTTTCTTGCATATAACAAATCATCATCAATTTTCGTTATTGAAAGCAGAAGAACAAATTCTTCTACATTACTTTCAATTAATATATTTATATATAGGGAATATTCGGTCTTTCCAATGATCGTTTTCAACCTTTTAAACTATTTGATGAAGCTAAACAATACAACAAAAACAAAAAAGATGGAAAATAATATTAAACATAAACATGAACAATACTAATATGTTCATAGTGTAAAAAACCCAAAAGAAAAATATGGAAAAACATCATGAAACATATGTGTATGTATAAATATATAATATCATGAAAAATATTTATATAATTAAAGACTAAAATTTCAGGACAAATATATATAAATAATATCATATGATATCAATATTATGAATATTAACATCATGATCATTTGTAATTAATAAAAACCTAAAACAATTTAAACAAATGTGTAATCATTATCATTACATCATAATGACATAATAAAATAATAACATCATGTAAAAAAAAGACTGTGCATGTGGGTGTAAGTGAATGAAGGTTCTGCATCCACAACTACACTTTTTTTTTGCAAGATGCTTTTATTTTATTATGTCAATACGATATAATGATAATGATTGCACATTTGTTTAAATTATGTTATGTTTTTATTAATTACAAATGATCATGATGTTATAGATTATTATTATTATTATATATGAGATGATTGCAAGCCATTTGTACCATTTGGTTTCAACTTTTTTGAAAATTTCATTTATTACTAGAATGATTTCACATATTGGGGTAAATAGTACTACTTACTAGAGAGATGAAGAATTCCAGTAGTTGTCTCAATACCACTATCTAGAATAGCCGAAATTTCAAAAAAAAAATGATATGTTTATACTTATTTTTGAAAATCACCGAGTCATCGTAAAGGTACTATAGGAAATGTTGGAACATCTAGGGTTCTTTCTGTTTTGGTCGAAAAAAAATCGATTTTACTGTCAAAACAATTGTGACGGGACATTTGATCAGGATTTTGAACTTTTCTTCCAAATGACAAAGACTTACGAGTTAAAATTTGCAGTATCCGTTTCATATTCTGCTGTCTACTTGTGTTGAAAATTATTTTGATTAAGATGTAGCAAGACCTAAGATTCATAAAAAGCAAAAAAAAAGTGATAGAGCATTAAGATAGGAAGACAAGTTTTGAGATCGAAACATTTTTATTTTTGATCCAATGAAAAATCTTATAGATTTCTTTGAAATTTCAGTTCTTTTTGTTTTTATCGATCTACCTTTTGGCTGTAATTTAGTGGGACTTCATTCATGTTTTCATTCCGAAAAAAAAACAGTTTACAGCGTGATAGGATATTTTTTACCAAATCTGCGACCACAAATATATCGAGCTAGTACAAATAAAATAAGAACAATTTAACTAAACCAAATAGCATATTCTGCAGTTCATTTTACGAAGATACTAAACGAAAAGAAGCGAGTTTTAAAAATGCTTTCTTAACAGAAAAACAAATCAGATTTATTTGTTGCCATTGGACATGTCCAAGTCAAAATTAAGTATAAAAGCAATATCACTTTCACACCCTCTAGCGACAGACAATAGCTTGGGGTTGATTTTAACAGCCCAACTAGCCACACCTGTGAAGTACATTTTCTGAACAAAATTATTGAATTTGATTGAGAATTCTACGTGATATAAGCATAGCCATGTTTTTTTGTTC